ACAAGCAAGGACGAAATTTTATTTCTCTTTCTGAGCTTGAATTTGTTCCCTTGAAATTCAGATTCAAGAGGGTTCGCCTACAATCGGCAAAGTAAGTGGATAGGAATGATCGCTATAATGACTGAAACAAAACCAAATTCTTTTTTTAAGCGACGTTCTCTTTGCCGCCGCGTCGTTGAATCTTTAAGTCCCTAATTCAAACAAGCAGCGGCAAACACAATAAAAGAGACAGACATCGCAAGTTGTGGGCAGGGATTTATTGTGGGAGTGATACCAATGCCCTATAAAGACTCGACGTTTTTTTTTTTCCTGCAGAGCCTGAGGATTCATTCTTACTGCGGTTTTTACCGACGGGCAGATGACGAAAATCAATAGGACATTTTACAATAACTGAATTAATTCTCGAGCACGGATTAGCTAATTTTTATGATAAATACGAGGACAGACACATAAATTTTAATTTATGCAAGACGTGGTCATTTGCAAAACGAATGCCAAACTTCGATGTTTTTCTTTAGTTAACTTCGTAGAAGATTCACTTTCTGTCTACTAAGAAAAATAGCCACATACCTCTGATGCAAGACTTGCATCCTGTTTGGATTCTCTACAAAAAGCTCCAGCAGAGAAAACTGAGCAAAAACGCTTATAGTCTCCAAAAGCGGAGACGACTTGCTAGAAATTTTGCAGCTTCAAAACTGCCATTCAGGTAAGCTTCTAATATTCATACATAGTTTTAAAGATAAAAATGGTAAGAAAACAATTCTGGAAGTCTAGTTTATTTAAAATAAAGACATCAACTAATTAATAAACGAAGTAAGTTTATTTCACTGCATTGGGCCTAAAGAGGCCACTTCAAAAGTCTGTTTTGTTCCTAGATTGTACTTCCAAACATACTTCTAAAACAAGTTCTGAATAAAGTTGGGAGCAGTTTCACTGAGTATTGCTTATGAGCTAATAATAGCAACCAGTGAAATAATCGTTGGACCTAGTTGCATATGGAAATATTTTTTAATACCGAGAGCCATTTAGCATGTCCTCGGTGTAAAACAGTATATTCTGTAACTTATCTTTGTGGCACGCAGTGCAAATAAGTCAGTTTTTAACTGTATAAAACGACCACACCGCCCTCGGCTTAAGGAAATCTTTTGTACATGTAAGAAGGAATGTCCATCACATTAATTGTCATCGGAGAGAGAGAGTTTCGAAAAAGAAGTTTAAATTTAGTGCTACTATGCTTTGGAACCAGCTCTCGAATGAAGCAAAACTCACAGAGTCAGACTCTTCCCTTAAAAAGCTTATTAGATTGTTGCTGGGTCTCTTGCCAAGCTGTGTACCTTAATGGTAGTTAACGTTTCGTATGACTTTCTGTAATAGCAATAGTAGTATTAGTCAACACCCTCATCGCCTTGTGGTATACAAATCGCGCCTCCACCCCGCTGGCTCGAACAGAAGTGTGTTTTGCGTAAGCAGGAACATCCCAGTATGTTTAAGTTTCTTCTAACTCGTACAACAGTTTTGGCTCCATCCGTGAGTGCCAAGGAGAGTCTGCAACCTTGAGGTCTGTTAGCATTTAAAAGAACAGCACCTTTAGTGCAACAGTATTATACCTCTCCATTTACTTAGTCTGCGCCAGCGATAAACATCCCGCCAAAACGTGAGCAAGGTTTTCTGTTACGTTACCGCACACTCTGCAGGTGGTGTTAATTTGGTCTGAAGTACCAGTCTCATAGGCCGCACAAACTCGACCTGGTAACAGCTGCTCATAAGGCTCCAAAACCCCTGAGACAGTATGAGTAGAAGCTCACGCACACCCACTCGACCAGGCAAAACAGCCGTGTTCACTCACCTGGCCGTCCTCCCATCTGGTTCACAGCAGACGTCCTTGCAATCTCTGGTCTTCCATCTCATACCTACTGGTCCTCTTCTCTGGGGCTTGCTGCGAGCTACATGATGTATCGGGAGTGGCCAAATTCAGACTAGTCTTCAGTTCCTCCGCAAACTTGCGTGTCCTTCACAATATGTGCACTCTAATGAAAAGTCTATAAATTTACAATTTATAAACATCTTATTATCTCTGTAAAAGGTCCAGTTTTTACAGTGACAAGTGAGGAGAACCCTTCTCTAATACTTTCTCTTTAAATGTTCGCAATTTACTTTTCATCATTGGGTCTGGATTCATGGACACCTTGATCTTAATTTATTTGTACTCTTGTTCTACAGACTTGTGTCCACGATACCCTTTAACTCTTGGAAGATACACCACTAGCTACAGTGCTAATTCTCGCTGATTAACTCCCTCATCTCTCTGTTAATGCTTTGCAGCTCTTCCAATGGCCAATGTCGGGTCCACATGGGGTATTGAATCTGATGGTCGAGGAAGTCTCATTTCTCTGCTTTGAACATAGGAGCTGTGTTTCTGGTATTCAGCTTGCCCAGGGGTCCCGGATCGCCCTAAAGAGCCAGCTGTGGAACCGGTGTACTTCTATAATCTCGTTTAGCCACTTGTGATCAACAGAGTCATAGGCCTTCTTTATATCCACCCAAGCAATGCTTAAGTTTCTTTTACCTCGATGGTAATCCTATCAATCAAAAGGTTATCCGTGGTACTATTGAAACCAGCCTTAGCACCCCTTTGCTCACTTTCCATTAAATCATACTCATGTAGATGACTGTCTAAAGGACTCTGAAAAAGACGATGTGAACCACTTGTAAATATTATTCAAGCAAGCTATCGGACGCTAATTTTCCCTGGAAAAAGCTCCCAGCTTGGGGATAAGTAGGGGTTTTACCCTCAGAAAACGAAAAGGGGTAGACCTCTTTTTGCTTTGCAACAGAAAGGAATGCTTGTGTGATGTCTTCGTGAAGTGCGTTCGCTCTCTTCCTCCAGTAATTTTAATTACTAGCTAAAACAGGTCTTTCAGGCGCAGGTGCACTCCAATTTCCCTTCTTAAGGAGAACTTTCACGGCCTCAGATTACTCTAACTCCCACGCCTCATACGAAGGAGGTGAAACGCGAGTCCGATAAGAAAAGTGGTTGATCATCTAGGCAATTCGTATCCAAGAAGTTGTTCACCAGCAACACTAATTTACTGTAATTTATACAGTATGAAATCACAAAATAAATTAGCCAACCACAGAGGTTTCTTATCTCATCAAGTGCACGCCAGTCTCCAAACTTTGACTAATCGGTTTACAAAAAGACGTAAAAAGAGTCGAACCTTTGGCTTTCTGTTACCCCAGTGAACAGGGCTCCCTTTCTAAAAACCAGCTGACAAACTTGGTGGGTGAATTTGTTTGTTTGGCTAGCGCTGCTAGGGTGGCGTAAAGAATTTTTTTATTCGGTTTTTCATGAAGGGCCTGAATATATAAGATCGAGGTTTTCTTTCTTTCCCAGAATTGGGAATCCGTTAGAAACTTTGGAACTAGGTTGCAATAGGTCATTATAATTGTCACGACAGAGTAAAAAAAGATTTTCTGATTAATATAAGCTTACGTTATAGGCTAGACATGGGTTTATTCAAAGTGGTTACACTTAGTTTCACATTTTTTCTTGAAGCAGAAATAAAAGAGAGTTCCTTACTAAACAAAGATACAACTGTAACGAGACAATGAACATGCAGACAATAAAGACGAGTTCCTTGCTAATCAAATATACGACTGTAGAAATTCAAGGTGAACTCCCTCAGCCTCGCTCAACTCATGAAAAGATGAAAACAGAAAAAAAGTGGCGGACGGGCGAAAACCGAATCCCCAACGTTCCCTGCCAAGACGAAGCATCTGACAATTCACGTAAAAGCTTATGATGTTATTCATTTCAACTGGCATGAGGTCATAAAAAGTATTAAGAAAGGATGACAACCCGTTTAGTTAATTTCTTTAATTTTAAAGATGAAATTAAGAACACAACATTTTTAAAGCAGTTCTCTTGACTTTTCAGGATTTTAAAATTGTCATGTCAAACCTGCCTTAAATGCTGTCTTCAGAAAAAAGTCATTGGCAAAAACAGTCCCTCTGACGTAATGGACCGTTGATGGACATTTCTTGATATACTTTATACTGTTTATAGTATTTATGTATATATTTATTTATTTGTTTTTTATTATTTCACTTTATACACTTAATCAGATCCCGCGGGAAACCGGTTAGTTTTGTTTTCCCTCGAGTCCTGATGTTTCCCTCGACGAATTTGGTATATTTCTAGACTGTCACTTCAACAGCAACAAAAGAATAACCAAGCAAATCAAAACAGTCGACTCGGTACTTGTAAAAACTCCAAAACCTCAAAACCTCCACCGGGATAACCTTGAAAATCGTTGCTTTTTAGCTTGAGGCTCCTTGATTGTGTTGTTAAGTTCATTTACGAAAAGGAAAACTGGCAGTTTTTTTCCCGCCTTCTGTCACACTACTTTCTACAATGCTTTGATCATGTGCTGTAATGTACCCCGAGCGGGGTACAATTGCTCAAATGTATCTCGATCGGGATGCAGTATTTTGATTTTAGTCAAGGCCGTGTGACCAAGAATCAACCAATGACAATCCCTGTTTAGTTGAGTGAAAGTCTAGGAATATAACAATATTTATTGGTTTTATGTTTTTCATTGGCAGCTAGGAAAAGGCCTCAACGTTTTTGGGGGATCGATACAGTACAATACCTGACGAGCAAATACTAATATCTTTCATATCACGGATCACTTAATTCAAATGTATAAGCCCTTGTAACGCTGTAGTCAGTGGAGCGTTTTGAGGTCTTAATTTGACACAATTCACAAGTTATCCCTCTGGCTATGTACTCTTAAAGCGTGAATAAGCCGCAAAGCAAAGGAATCACGCGAATATATATCACGAAATTAGATTCATGGACAAGAAAAATTGATTGGACAATTTTAAGTGAATCCGGAATAACAAGTTAGTAAGTCTGTCAGCTGTGCTTTTACGCCAGTTAACGGAACTATAGTTTCGTATACAAGCACCTACGTCTGGCGATACCGTGAGTTAAATAAATGGCATCTAACAGAGTGCACCCGTCGAATGATGATCTTGAACACTGGAGTAGAACAGATAACAAACCTTTAAATACGACACCAAATAATAGGAGAGGAGCCTATGAAGTCGATGAAGGGATCGAAGACGGTGTCGATTTTAGGCCGACAAACGGAGCAAAAAGGCAATTCGAAATCGTTGGCAAAACAAGCAGTCTTCTATCTCGACGTTTGGTGGTGTTTTTCTTGACTTTCGTATGTCTAGTTTCTGTAACGACTTTAATTCTGACCGTCTTTTTCATTTATGGAAAAATTGGAAACAGGTGCAACTGCGCAGATTCGATGACAGAGAGTCAACAGGATCAAGGTTAGAATCGTCTAATTAGCTGGTTCATTTCTGTTGCAGCGCGGTAGTTACTGATTGTTTTCAGACAAACTCAGTCCTGCTGCGTGAGTTTAAGGACTCCTGGTACTGAAATTTTGACGTTTCGTCAAAAGTCTGTCAATAATCTGTGTCGGTGTGTTTTTCCAAACAATGTCATCAATTTGCTAGTCATACTAAAACAGCATCAAATTAAGTTATTATCTTGAACAGCTGGTCAGTTTTCGAGTCAGGACTTTCAGCTTTGTAAGCAATGTTCACTTGATCCGGGTCTCTCTAAAGTTGGTGAACTTTAAACATAAGTTAATTTTGGGCCAGATTTTCTTGTCTAGGAATATGCAACTAATGAATTTTTCAAGCCCTTCCTACTTAGCTACCAACTTAATAAGTAAGCAAATAACAACTTTAAAAGTTTCAGTGTTAGGGCAAACGCAGACTGAGTTCATGAGCACTAGCCTAAGTGTATTTTTTTTGTTGTTGCTTGCGTACGTAAACTATCAACCTCTACAGACAAACAGCTTATTATGGGGCTGTCACTAAGAGCGTACGTAATACTACGCATTCTTTGTTCGATGATTTTTCATGGCGCGATTGCTCATTTTTATTCCAAAGGGTTTATCTAAAGGTAAACCGAATGCATAAGGGAAATAATAAATTTGACAACCATTTTTAATTCAGATCGATAAAAAGCACAATGCCAAGCTTAAAGTTTGGGTCGGTAATTCGGAAAGGCTACAGTTTAAGAGTTTTATCCACTGACATTCCCAAACATGATTTCTAAGTTACTTTTAAGTTTGTTTTATTTTTCCTGCTTGTCCTGAACGGATACACAGTTCAACAGTTTCATCCACTGAGATTCCCGAACATGATTTCTAAGTTGTTTTAAGTTTGTCTTCTTTTTTCCTGCTTGAGGTTTTAGCTCTGAAAGGGAACATAGGTGGTACTCAGCAAAACACTCACCACATGAGCGGCATATGTCTTCCTTTATTAATGAAAAAATATTATGTGATAAGTGTTTATAAAACATAACAACTTTGTCAAGGAGATCTTATTTGACAAAAAAGTTAACTGTTTTAAAATATTGTTATTGGGGTTACGTCAACGTTTCTAAGATACGCAAAACAGTTGACCGCATGACACATAATGTCATTTTGTTGGTGTTAATTCGTGCGTAACCTTTCAAAAAAGAACGGTGTTGCATTTACAAATAAATATCCATACTTCCTATTTCTTTCCACTAGCTTTATCTGTTTGTTATTATTTAGATTATCATCACCAAACCATTGACGGTAATGAATAGGCAAAATGGGATGATAAATGTTTCTTGAATGTAATAAAATGACAGCCGCCAATGAGACATCTTTTTCACGTCCCTTCATTTGTTCGAGAAAAACGGAGCTTTTGCGAGTTTTTGCTTTTAACTGCAATTTGATGTCCATAACTCTTTCATCTCCCTAGCGGCTAGGATGGATGCTATTTTACTATACCTTTGTTCTGTTATTGGTAGTTGGAAGTTGATACTACAGTTCACTTACCTATCACGATTTTGCGATTCGAAAAATATTTGGATCATCTTTTTACGTGTGATTGTCATCTTAGTTATATCTGTGTAAACGCAGTTGCACTGTCGACGGCTATGAGCGACATATAGGCCTCCAACAAGGAGATATTTTGTAATTTTAAGTAGTATATGATGATTATGATGATGATGATGATGTGAAAGGTATGGTTACCAACTCCCTTGGTTAGTTCTCCTATTGTCTTGCAGCTTCAGGATCTTCTTCAACTCAAGCGCTGTCTTCTGATCCGGAAAACAACGATAACTTGGGGAGATTGAAAGTTCTAGAAGAAAATCTAACTAAAGTACATGAGGCTCTGGTAAGAAAAAATTCATACAGTTAATTCAAATCGCAGAGGTGGGCAGCGTTCATGTTACAACCCAATACCTCTCTCAAAAGCATAAAACGTCATCCTATTTTACACTGTATCATGAAAGAAAAAAAAACTCAGCAGTTGAGTGGTATCTGATCCATTGGCCTTTGCGTTAGCGCTGGAGTGCTCTACCAGCTGAGCTACGAAGACCCATACATTGGGAGCAGGCCAATTTGTTGAGTTTATTTTAACACATGAAAGGAATGAAACATGAAATAAAGATAATGTAAACTGCGGAAATGTAAAATTGTTAAATGAAGACATGATTGTCGCAAATGTAAAAGCATACAATTTAAGTTGATTGCAACTTAACCCCTTCCCCCAACCACCCCCTCCCCCCCCCCCCCCACAAAACACAAAAAAAAAAACACAACAAACACAAACGAACAAAAATACAACACCCCCCGTAACATCCCGCCTCAACATTCGCACCCGTCACTTCAAACACAATCCCCCTTTCCCTCCACGTGGACTAGGCATCAGACAATGAAATGTTTACGGACGGGAAGTAGGGGACCCCCCCCCCCCCCCCCCGGCGGCAAACGAAGGAAAAGAGCAACGGACGGGACACGGGGCACCCCCCCCCCCCCCCCGCCACGAGCAACACAAAGTTTCAAGAGAGGGGCAGCAGAAGAAAAGAGAAAAAAAAACATAAAAAAAACAAAAAAAAAAAAAAAAATAAAATAAAATGCAGAAAAGTAAAATTTTAAAAAAAAAACAGAAATGCCCCCAAACTAAAAAACCAAAATTTAAAATTATTTCAACACAACCCCCCCCCCCCCCCCCCCCCCCCCCCCCCCCCCAAAAAAAAATAAATAAATAAAATAATAGGCTTCAAGGGGATTCGAATCCATGACCTCTGCATTCGCCCTGTAGTGCTCTCTCAGCTGAGCTATGAAGAACCACACGTTTGAAAGCAGAGCAATCTGTTGAGTTCATTTAACCCGATTAAGCATTTCCAAAAACGATAACTGATGACTGACGTAGGGCAGAAGCGTTTCGAGATCCAAGCAAAAGTTTTCGAGTCCTATGATTCAGGCGTAGCTACTATTTGCTTCAGTTGACACCCTTATTTAGGACTAATAAAGGAGTTCCAATACTTTGACATAGTTCTTAATATAACGCTTAGTTCATTACTTAACTATTATTCATTGTGTAGGAATTGAAAACAAGTGAGCTCTGGAAGGAGTTGCAAATTATCGAGGACAAATGTGGAAATGCAACAGCACTGGTAAGGTTAAAAGAATCAAGCGTAAAACCATCCAGCCTTGTTAAAATGATTGACTTTTTTAAACTCATTATCAGTTGATTTGTGTGATTTAAATATCGTTTTCAGATTAGAAAATACGTCATCATCTTCTCCGATAGCACGGCTAAGAACGATGCAGTTTTGACTTGTTTAGAAGGATGTATTGAAACAAGTTTTACTACTTATTATCATTAACAATGCGGCCACAAAATTAATCAAGCCATCACTTATGAGAAGCCTTGAATTTTGAAGCAACTGATAAAGTCAGGTTTAGTTTGTATTTACTTCGAGGTTTATTAGAGATAGAAATTTGTTGGACGTACTTTTGAGTACATTTCTGAAGCATTTAGGGTAACATTATTAGGCTTCTGTTTACGCTATGCTATAATAAGCATTGCTACACTTTAAAAATTTTTATAGACCTGAGTCATTTTTTATGGTTACAGGTTACGGTTGCCTTTTTTTTACAGTGCAAATCAAATGATAGTAAAACCTATGTACTCCATTTATTTTAAAACTTCTTCTGTTTTTGTTAGGTGATGACATTGGAAAACCTGAAAGCACAATACCTGCCTGGTCCCCCTCGTCCGGCTGGGTCACAAGGAGAACGAGGCCACAACGGCTCGATAGGCACTCCAGGTGTAGCCGGTCTACAGGGCGTTAATGGTTCACAAGGTATTCCTGGCCCACCAGGTCCTCCAGGTGTTCAAGGACTGACTGGTCCTCTAGGTTCCGCTGGTCCACAAGGCCCACCAGGCCAAAATGGCTCACAGGGTCAATCCGGTCCTAAAGGTTCACAAGGCCCACCCGGACTTCCTGGTCAACAAGGAAATAATGGCTTACAAGGCCCTCCTGGGGTACAAGGCTACAATGGCTCACGTGGATTGCAAGGTCCTATTGGTCCAAAAGGATACAATGGTTCGCAAGGTCCTCCAGGACCACGCGGACCCAAAGGCTATAATGGCTCACAGGGATCGCAAGGCCCGATTGGTCTACCAGGTCCAGCAGGACCGCAAGGTCCACGGGGCTTTAATGGTTCACAGGGATCGCCTGGTGCCATTGGTCCCCAAGGGTTCAACGGATCTCAAGGCCAGCCTGGAGAACGGGGTCCACAAGGTTACAATGGATCACAAGGCCCACCTGGTTCTGTTGGTCCACAGGGTTTGAATGGCCCTCAAGGCCCTCCAGGGCCGCAAGGTACCCCAGGTTTTAATGGAACCCAGGGGCTACCAGGCCCAGTTGGGCCACCAGGCCATAATGGCACACAAGGACCAGAAGGCGTTCAGGGTCCTCCAGGATACAATGGCTCGCAGGGTTTACCTGGTCCTGTTGGTCACCAAGGATATAATGGGTCTCAAGGCGCTCCTGGTGTTCAGGGTCCTCGAGGGTATAATGGCTCCCAAGGTCCACCAGGTCCACAAGGTTATAATGGCTCTCAAGGCCCTTCTGGTCTCCAAGGATATAATGGGTCACAGGGGCTACCAGGCCCTATTGGTCCACAAGGTTACAATGGCTCTCAAGGCCTTCCCGGTTCCCAAGGATATAATGGATCACAAGGTGCTCCAGGTGTTCGGGGTCTCCAAGGATATAATGGGTCACAGGGGCTACCAGGTCCGGTAGGACCACAAGGTTACAATGGATCTCAAGGCCCTCCTGGTCTCCAAGGATATAACGGGACACAGGGGCCACCAGGTCCCGTTGGACCACAAGGATACAATGGCTCTCAAGGCATACCTGGTCCCCAAGGATATAACGGGTCACATGGAACTCCAGGTATTCAGGGTCCTCGAGGCTATAATGGATCACAGGGGCCACCAGGTCCAATCGGTCCACGAGGATTCAATGGCTCTCCAGGTCCTCCCGGTCCCCAAGGATTTAATGGGTCTCAAGGGGCTCCAGGTATTGAGGGTTCCCAAGGTTACAATGGATCACAGGGGCCGCCAGGTCCAGTCGGTCCACAAGGTTTCAATGGCTCTCAAGGTCTTCCCGGTCCTGTTGGTCCGCAAGGATATAATGGGTCACAGGGAGCCCCAGGTATCCAGGGACTCCGAGGATATAATGGATCACAGGGACCACCAGGTCTTACCGGACCTCAAGGTTTTAATGGGTCGCAAGGCCCTCCTGGTCCTGTTGGTCCGCAAGGATATAATGGATCGCAGGGACCCCGGGGCTACAACGGATCGCAGGGTCCTCCAGGTCCGCTTGGTCCACAAGGCTTTAATGGCTCTCAAGGTCCACCCGGTCGTAATGGATCTGCAGACTTCAGCCAATGTGTGTATAAATTTAAAACAACGTCTGGTAAATCTGATGTCAATGCATTCCTTACTTCTGATATCCAAGAAGACATCGTAAGTTGAGATTTATATAATTAATTATTGCTTTATCATTGGTTTTATTTGTTACTTTGGTAAGTTTCAGTATATTACTGTTTTTGCCATGAAAAGAAAGTGACATAGTAATATTACTCTTCGAGTTCAATTTTTAAGTTACCGTATTCGAGTGTGCTTTTTTTTTTACGTTTGTGATGAATGTACGCGAAGTTTAAAATTAAAGTTTGAATTATTCAAGACCAAATTTAGACCTTTAAAATGATGTTTCCTCTCATAATTTTTTATTGAAGTTCAATGGAAGGTTAGAAATATGCAATATGAATTGTTATCGCTTGATTTCTTTTCTTAACCCGGCCACCAAATGGTCAATAATATACGATTTTTAGCAAAATGGTCAAGTGACTTATTAACACAAAATTTGTATCCGATATGTTAAGGACGATGAGTTCTTTATTTGTGCCAAATTTTGATTCATTGCGATTATCTATGCCGAAGTTGTAGCCAATAAATCATTTTCCACAGTTAAACCCCTTAGTCCCAGGCCTTAAACTACTTGAGTTGGTGTGTACCGACCTTAAAAAGTAGATTTCGTTCTACACGTGCACCTGCTAATATACAGAAGAATAAATCGAGAAACATTAAGTTTCTTTAGTTTATTTAGTTATTGAAATTGATATGTCAACTAAAGCCATTGTTTAAGGAAAGCCTTTACAATGTCACAGCAAAACAAAACTATGAACGAACTTAACTTATTCTAATTAAATTTCTCTTTTAGGATAAAAAGATCATAGCTGCAGTTTGCTCCACTGATGATGCGCAGCAGTATCTACTGAGTAGCTACATTGTACAAGGTGTTCGCAATTACATTTGCGAATGCAAAGGTAGCGTGACAAATGGTACCGCTACTTCTTTACAATGTCACATTCACTACTGGGAATGCCCTCTAGTTACGTGACGGAGTTCAAATTAGTAAGAGTAAGACTATAAAGACTAGATTTATGGAATATTAATAACTTGTTACTTCAGTGTTTTTATTGTTAAGCTTTGATCCAAAAAACTCGAGCTTGTATTCATACCGCTGTGTGACTGATGCTACAGATGACCTCGCAATGAAGACTAATCAGAGAACGTTCCATTTGTAAGATCACGATAAACCAAATAAATAATACAGAGTGTTTCGCAATTTTTCCTTGTTATGTTATCACCAAAGGTATATTTAAATTGCAACAAAATCAATATCGATATCGATATTGGCCAATATTGAACAAGATGCACCCATTTAAAACTACAAAATGTACTAATAGCGGAGCTCTCGCGCGCGAAGCGCGCGCAGTGGAGCACCATGGGTAAAAAAAGTGGTAAACTACCCATCCGAGAAAATTTGGTAATCACCTGACCGTACAACGACCGACCGACCGACCGCCCAACCGTCCGTCGGCACCGCAGGCATACCAATGTAAAATAATTCAATCAAAAGGTATGGCAACACAAGTGCAACTCAAGGTTTTATTCGGAAAGAAAAAATATATCAAAAATATATCAAGGTTTTATTTAGAAAGAAAAAAACATCAACAAAGTAGTGTCTTTTTCGACGTTAGTTTTGATGTTTACATTCACGTGGATAACAGAGAAAGAGCTAGAGCGAAAGACTGAAAACAAAAGTGACGAACTTTGTAGGAAGAGAAACATGAAAATTCAAAGCGGCTGCGAGACAATGAGAAATGCCAGCGGCCAGCAAGGTGAAAATTAGAGGCATGCAGTGAAAAATATAAGCGAACATGAACACAGGAGACAAAATATTGGGTAAGCACATACGACAATTCCTCCATGAAAATAATGTGTAACTAGGAAGTTTGATGTTTTAGTCCTCCAAAACAGCGTTCTGGTTGAGCAAAACAACGCCAAAGAAAGACAAAAAGCGTGCTGCAAGTGCAAATTTGTTTTTTGCTTATTAGAAAAAAAAAGTGTGCTACACGTGCAATTTGTTTTTTGCTAATTATATCTATTGATCTTGATGCCATTTTCATTTGCCCTCCCCGTTTAACATTACACGATTTAATTTTTTTGTTGTTTGCAAATATTATTAACCAGAGCTTCGCTTTTAGCCCTGGCTAAATCTATATATTAGAGGTATGGATTGCCCGACACAATATCCGGACAGCTTATATTTCTTAGGTGGTTTTGAATAGCCGTGTTTCTTTTTCAATACCGGCCTGATAGACGGGTCCTGATAAAAACTGAACTTTAGGATTTCGCAAATGTCAATAGACCATTTTTTTTTTCAGTTGTGGGCTTGGTATCCTAGCATTTGTGTGATTGTGAGGCTGAGGTTGACCTTGTTTTGATACAAACCTCTTTCCTTTTCCTGTGAAAATTTAGCATAAGAAGAACATGATTTACATAATAATTCAGGAAGGGTTGTGTCAAAACAAGAGGCGCTTTCCATTCAACCAAAACTTTCGAAAATTTAGAAACAGCAGCAAATGGTACAGAAATTTCCTGGAAAAGCTTCCAGAAATTTCGGAACCTGATGAATTTCCGAAATGCGAACCACTGAACCGAAAATTCTAGAAATTTCATTGGAAAGAAAACTTCAGGGAAAAGGTTTTCCAAAATTTAGGTACATCTCACGAGGTTGTCCTTTGTTTTGAAAATTTTGGAAAATCCTGTTCTATTTGCTACTGGAAAAATGGACGTTTTCGTTGAATGGAAAGCGCTCCCCGCTCCCCCCCCCCCCCCCCATTTGTATGTTCTCTTGGAAAAAAAGGAGTTTTTGTTGTAAGGGAACCGCGCCCCCCCCCCCCCCCCCCCCCCCCACCTCGGTTTGAGACTAACTAGGTAATTCAAGACAAATCGATGAGAATTTCCCACAAAAAATTGGTGCAAAAATAGACACATGATTACTTTAAAGCAGGAGCCTTAATGCGGCTGACACAGAAAGCAATGAAATGAAAATGAAGATAATGGAAATAACGAAATTGTGCACTTGGGAAGTTTAAAGGGTGAGGGCCGCATCCGTTATATGGAGGTGACAGCTTTATACAGTTTAACTTTAGAGTCTTAAACTGCCGCCTGGTTAGCTCAGTTGGGAGAGCGCCGGTCTGCTGAGGGGAGGTGGTCTGTGGTTCGCCTGTGTTTTTTCACCTGTGGTTTGTCACTTTCTTTGTAAGACAACCCAAGGTACTTGAGGTAGTCTGGGTACTATGAAGTAGCTTCAGCACTTACTGGTCTGCTTACTATAAAAGTACTCGACCAGAGTAGACCAGATAGTCTTGAAGGGACCAAAACATTCAATCCCCAGCAATGCACATACCACTCCAATGTTGGTCAGTTTTAATGTTTCTTGTGTGTTTATCTCAGATGATCATGAGTGGCATGTATGCCGACACTATGCCAACTTACCAAAGTTTTTAATTTTTTAAAGAATAGTGATTGTCCCGCTAGCAAATGCCACCTCTCGGGCAGAGCAGTCTTGCACTTAAAGCTCGCAATGCGTTTTAGGCTTCGCAGTGGAGGACAAAAACAATAGTTTTCTCATTTCATATTTTTTCAATAAAAGTCTACACAAGCGGAAAACTGGGAACGATTTGTCCCAATCTTCCCGGCTGACGCCTGACTGATTTCATTGAGTGTTACCGTTCCAAAGTTTCTCGCTCCACTGAATTTCATTGTAAAGCAAAGAATTTCCTTTGTAAAGGTGTTACCCAATCTTCAGAAATCACGGTAATGTATTTGAAAGATGTTTTGATGGTATTGCTGGCCATTATGATATCGAACTACCTGGGAAGAAAGTGTGCTGGAATTCAAACGAATCCGTAGTTTGTTTGAATCGACATTCTCAGCTGCATTTCGTCCTGCTTCAAGACGTAAGTACATTAGGAAACACTGTGATGCATCTTTTGCTGCCTACATCTTAGGTGAAAATGAAGCGATGGAGCCCGGCAAAAGAAATGTGAGTACAATTGTGAACGGAAATAGAGAGTTGGCCATTTATTAATTTGCATTTGGTTAATGTACGTGCATTCTGGACTGCAATGCTGCCATTTGTAATAATTAAGATGTATTTGTTTTTTATGTATCTCTATTGATTCTACTGCGAAGTCTAGAGTTAAAAAAGTGCATTGGAAACGGTCAGTATAAATCATGGACTGCGAACCGCAGACTGCAGACTGGGTATAAAACACGGGCCAGGTATATAAAATGAGGACTCTGGACTGAGTATTAAACACGGACTAGGTATAAAACGCGGACTACGGACTATGTATATAAAAACAGCTTTAGAGAGGTAAAACTGAGAGATACGGTTAGCGGACTGGCATAAAACGGTAGTCCCAGCTCCTCGTCTCACACACAAACATTCCTTTAACTAGTCACGCAGTCTATTCTCCCTAACGTCAGCATCATGTGGAGAAGAAAAGGATACTGCACGGACAAGGAAGGTTATGCTGCTACTCAAGGCAACTTAAATTAAACTCTGAATTTTGCTAAAAGAAGGATTTAGAACAGAATTCAATTTATTGTTTTAAACCAATAAGAACACTGAAGAAGCGCTGGATATAAAAAAAATAGTATTGGTGTTAGTCAGAGTAAAATTCTTATAGATGCCACTATTCCTTGGGAATTAATGAGAGAATGAAGAACTCAGATGAGAAGGTCAATATAGGGGCATTCCGCAATGTAAAAAAAGTGCTATTTAGGGGGGAGGGATTAACGCACCTATACGTGAATAATAATTCAAATGAATCATCTAATGTTATGTATATTGTAAGTGACGATTATGATGACACGATTTACACCCTGCTCCTGATCCCTGGAGTACTACTGGGAATTCTTGGTGGGGGTGTGCAGCCTGGTTCTCCAAATCCTGACCCTATTTCAGACCAAAAAATGTCATTTTCCACACCCGTTTTCAGACCAGATCTCTAAAATCCATACCCATTTTCAGACTGTTCCAGGTTCTCAGATTGTGAGGGAGACTTTCCAGTTTTCTCCCATGTTAATTTCATGTATGGCTTTCTCAATTCAGCGGACCTAACAATCTCGGAGCCTGGAACAGGCTAGCCCTAATTAGGCAGAATTATGTTATCATTACCAGATTAGAGTGCAAAAAAAAAAAATTCTTCAAATGCATTTCGAATTCTCATAATTCTATTTCGTTCTTATTCAGTTGGAACTGAAACGATAGATACGTGAATCATATACGTATGCTCCCAGTAGTTTCCTCGAAAACCATACCAGATTTCAGACCAAAATGGGCAAAGTGCTTTCAGACTACTCAGCCCATAGACACTACCGTTTGAGGCAGCACATACTTATATGGAAAAGCTGCTTGAATGCAGAGGTCCACACAACACGTAAATATAACTGACTGGTTCCTCTTGCCAGGTCTCTAACTAAAGAGATGCTGTAGCCAGATGTCACTCAAAGTGTAAAATAAAACAAAACTGAATGCAAGGCTGGCACTAGGGCAAAGGGCTGATATATTATAGGCCAATATTTCGGCTAACAAAATTAGCCTTTCTCAGGGCCAGAGCTATACTGAGAGAAAATATCTTTTAACAGCTCCTAAAATTTGAATTTATAATTCACATAAGTGGTTAATAATTAACTACAATTCTAAATACTAGATAGAAATATATAATATACAGGTAAATATTGGAAATATTGGCCTATGATAAATCAGCCCTTTGCCGTAGTTCCAGCCTTGCATTCAGTGTTGTTTTACCTTTGTGGCTCATATAAGGGAGTACCCCCCCCGGTCCTGACCCAAAAATAACAGTTTTGTCAGGCTCATGATTCAGGGAACTGGGCGGCGTAACTTAAACTCATATGTCCTGCTACCTAGTGATCTTTTGATCTTAATTTTTCTTACCTACCTGAACCAATTAGCACTGTTTTTACCAACATAGTCCGTAGTCCGTATTTTATACCAAGTCCGCAGTCCACAGTCTTCAT